CACAGACAACCCCGTAACAATATGCGTTTTGTACTGCTGTTACACAGCACAAAACGCATAATAAGGTAGTGATGCTCAACAAAAAACCAATGGCTTCACAAAAAGGTAAAAGTTCTGCTAAGTGTTTTTGTCGCAAGACAATTTGAGATGGGAAATTTCTCAAGATGCGTAACCAATGCCAGGACTACTAGCAGATGATGCAGTACTGGTCATCCCAACTGGAATACTACTACTACTGCTGCTGCTGCTGTTGTTGTTGTTGTTGTTGTTGTTGTTACAAAAGAATAAGCATTAAAAGAACCTTCAAAGGATGCTCCGGCAAATCAAACCACGCCCGCTGCAATTCTTCCGATTCACCAAACATCGCAGTGCCAAAAATCCTAAAAAATCGATTATTTTCTAACAGAATCTAAATTTAACGGCGTTGTTTTTGCTCAAAAGCCTAACCCTCGTTTTCCGATTCGATCAGCACTGCTACTAAAAGCAGCAGTATTTTGATAAAGCCGCCAGTGACTTCTACTGTAAAAGATCTTACGAACGAAATTAAAAAGTAATTTAAGCATCAATCAATTTTTTTCGAATTGGTTTCGAAAACTAAATTTTCCAAGACAGTAACAGATGTTTAGCAGGAAAATAGCAGCGCAGAACACCGGCCAGCCGCTGTAATAAACGAATATATTAATCAAAAGGAGGAAAAATAAAACCTGTCGCACTCGTCAATCCCAGCATCCAGGTATATAGCAGCCATCATAGCCTCAAATGCATTTGCCATCGCATGCCTCAGGTCTGACTCATGGCACAAATCGGGTCCATGCGCATACAGCATGAATTCATATAGTCCTATTTTCTGAAACAACAAGTTTACAGAAAACGATACAAACACAGGAAAGATAGGAAGGTATATTAGTAGGGAGGTATATTAATAACGGATGAAAAGAGGAGAAGAAAAGGAAGGTAAAAGATGAGAATTACAAAATTTGTAAATTAACAGAATTATTTTAATGGTAAGAAATGCTTCAGTCCATTAAGTCATACAGATTTCTTACCATTACCACAATTGGGCCTCGTCAGTACGACGACTGTGATAATTAGAGTTAGTCAATACTATGACTAAATTGTGCGGTAAATGTTAATAATAAGAAGTGTTGTGGAAGTCTCTAGTAGAAGTCTTTAGTACCCTTAAAAAAATGCATAATAAAGATTGCCAAATCATTAGTAATTGTAATGTACTAAAGACAAATGTATGTCAAAGCCAGCGTATAAAGGCCAGAATTCACTAGCAATATTAATGTACCAAAGGAATTTGCGTGTGTATGTATGTGTGCGTGTATATATATTTATGTACATATGTCAGTGTGAATGAATAAGATGAATAAAGACATACACCATCCTAATTCCCTAGACCAAGAAATGGAAAAGTACTCGAAAAGAAAAAAACATTTTGTAACTTCACAAACCTTAGCAAGAACAGCTAAGTTTTTGTTCTGCACCATTGTGGACCGATATGTTGCAAGGCCACCTTCATCGAGCTCGTCAAACATATGGAAGAGATGAATCGTAGTGATAAATTCAATAACAGCATCACCCAAGAATTCTAGGCGTTCGTTGTGGTTTAGCGGCGACTGCTCCGCTTTTTTCGAGCCCAACTTTGACATTATCTCCATCAACGTATGAAATCCTGATCATAAATGAAATATGATAATCATAGATCAGAGTGTAACAAGTCCTGAGCATAAGGCTGAAGGGGTATGATCTCCAGACAAAATGAAATTCGCTGAAGTTCACATGAATTTGGAAAATTGAAAAATACTTCAAAAATGCTCCTAAGTATCGAACTGTGACGGAAAAATGGCACGTAATGCTCAACAACGGCCAAACGGGCATTCTAAAACGGTTAAAAACTTGACAAGTGCTTTTGCTGGGAGAAACGCTGAGCTAGTAAATGCTCCAGGGGACGAAACGAATGTCAGGAAGGCCAGTAAGCTAATCACCGGGCAACGGCTGTTCAAAATAACTGACAATTGGCTAACGCGCCGAAGGCAAAAATGCGTTTTTGCACAGTTCTCCGCTGGTTTTTGTCGCTAGCGATACTAATTTTTTCTGCAGATGCTTCTAGCTAAACGAATTGAGACTAGTCGTCAGAATTGTCAGGAAACATCCCCTTAAATTTTCAGTTTTCTGGCTCTGCTGTTTCTCGAGTTAGCAACACACCCGAAAGAAATTTTTCCAGGCCAATTTTGGAGATAGGAATCCGTACATGCATTAGATTAAGTTCCCAAAGTTTCAGCCCTGTAGCTTTTGTAGGTCTCGGGATGCAAAAAACGCATAAAAAGGCTGCTAGCTTTGGAATCACATTACAAATTACAGCTACTTCCAGTATTCATGTAATGTCCAAAATGAAAGCAACGCTATACCTCGCTTTTTGGTACTTAATTGTTGCTGTATGAGGCGATCCTGCGCTCGCTGTTTCGATGAACGCTGGCCACAGTTATTGAGTGTGTTTCGTGCATGATCACTATTTGTGCCATAATTTGTATGATAGGATGGATGTGTGAGTGCCAGCTCAAGAAGTGAACGATCCTGAAATTAACTATATTTGCCCTACTGTTATTAGCTTACCCAGCGAATTACAACATTTAATATTCCGACAAACGAAAGTACCATTTAGCAAAAGTGGACAGGAAAATCGAATTCGAGAAGTATTAGCGCGTGGGAAAAACCTAAATTTCTCCAATTATAATCCCTGTTATAATTTCGATTAAAATGGAAGTTCTGCTTGTTATCTTCCACCTAAATACGCCAGGTCCTGTGGTCTAAAACTGCAGGCTTCTGAAATTATTTTTCTAAAATCTCGTACAACTGCTGCCAGTCCTCCGCTTTTAGCGAAGTAGTATCTGTACAACGATAAATTAACGAATTTTTCTATGGTTACTAACAGGGCCAGGAAAAGGCCCTCTAAGGCATTCACCTAACAATGGAAAGGTAATAACTGACTATGAAAGAAAAAACTTGAAAGGCTTCGATGAGAAAGAGAAATATATTTAAAAATGCGCAAAAATTCGGTGATTATGGCGAATTTCGAATCAAAAACAGTGGAGAATTTGAGTAAGATAAATCGATGGTGAGCAGGAGCACAACGATGAAATAAATGCTGCTCAATGTGTAAGAAAATAACAGTACTACTTAAAGCGAACAACTAAGAATGTTACGTCGGAGCCACCCAATAAAATCACTAATATCACATCTTCCTGGCATTCCTAGTAATAAAAAAAAAAATTTCCATAAAATAACAATAAAATTAACGCCAAACAAGCACTTGCAGCAAGCAATAGTGAGTAACACAGATAGCAAAATAACAATAGTATAACCTTGAAAACGTAATGAATACGTTCTTCCTCGTAGATTTGAAGTGACCAGTGAAAGCGCGCATGAGCAGTGGCAAGTATCAATATCAAACAGTGCTGAAAACGGGAAATTAGTTTTTATGCGTTTTTTGCAGCTATGCAATGCGAAAAACGCACAGTGACGAGAGGTTGTCTGTGTGTGTGTCTGTGTGTCCGCGTGTGCGTCTGTCATGGTTTTTCATCTCAAGACCTACAAAAGCTACAGCGCTGAAACTTTGGGGGCTTAATCTACATGCACGTACGGGCTCCAATCCCCAAAATTGGCGCCATTACCCGCGTGGTACCCGTGTAGGGGCTCGCCAAAATTTTTTTCGGGTAGGTTCATAACTCGGGGATTTGAGAAGCTAGAACGCTGAAATCTTGGGAGGATGTTCCCCGTCCAAGTGGGTATTAGTGATCTCAAACCCAGCCCCCGAGTAAGCGTGGTACCCTCGTATGGGGCCGCCAAAGTTTTTTTCGGGCAAGCTGATAACTCGAGTATTTCAGAAACTAAAGGACTGTAATTTTAAGATATGTCCCGTCCACCTAAGTTTCATTCAGCTCAAACCTAACTCTTGGGTGTGCGTGTTAAACTCGCACGGGCCCATGAAATTTTTTTTCCAATAAGTTGCTAACTCAGGAGCCAGGGAAGCTGGAAAGCTAAAATTTCAAGGGGGTGTTTTCTGATAGTTCTGGAGGCTAGTCTTAATTTGTTTAGCTATAAGCATTTGCCGAAAAAGCCGGTGCCGGTAGCAAAAAAAACTTGGGGGAACAATGCAAAAAACGCATCCTCGCGCGGGCAGCCCGTGCGTTGGCCAATTATTTTTTTTTTATTTACCAGAAACAAAATATCGCTATCCTAAAAAAAAAAATTCAATCAAAAAATACCTGTACGATGTCTGGAAATAGTCCGGTCTGATAGAAATCACGCGACGAAATGGACATAACAAAATCGCGTTTCAGATGGCTAAAAAACAAGCAATTCCAGAAAAAGCGTCTGTGAGCGAAAAAAAAAACATAGTGCCACAAAGCAGAGAAGTGAAGAATGTGCTAAATGACTAGTTTGCTGCAAAAGAAAGAAGGTGCTAGCAGCAATGAAACGACGATGGTGGCTAAACTCCCTCCGCCTTGCCCAGTTGTCCTTCGGTTCCATGTGATATACAAATGTTCCGTCTCTTTGTGACACAAAAACAATCATATTTCACTTCTAAGCACCACAATAAATATCACGGAGGGGGAACTCGAGCCAAGAGACGGATATCTGCATATCACATGGAACCGAAGGGCAACTGGGTGAAGCGAAGGGGGTTTAGCCATCACCTTTGTTTCTTTTTTGCTAGCACCTTGTTCCTTTTGCAACAAGTTTGGCGATGTCGATAATTTTAGTTTCAAGGCTTTGTCCATTCCACAGCTAAAATTGCAGACAACATCTTAAATTGCGTTCACGAATTCAATATTGCGATACAAAGAGCTTTTTTTTGACTGCCTCACCCCACCTAATGAAGCAAATAGCAAAAATTCAGCAGCTCTATTCCTGATACTAAAGTAGGAAAACACAGGACTGGTTTTAAGATCCATAGAAATTCAAAAGTTCAGTTTTTTTCTAAAAATCTAAAAACAAGATTTTAAACTTCCACTTGCAATTATGCTATTTAGCCACAAACAGCAAAAAAAAAAAAAAATAACGGAAAAAACGGCGATGCAAGGAATATCAAACCAAATTATGCTGGAATTTATTACGTAAAAAGCTAAACATACCTGTTACTACGCAATTCTTTCAATTTAGAGGCTTTCTGCGCTAGCCTCCCTCGTTCCTCGGCTGTAACACGCGGCTTCATTAGAAGAACTTTTCGCATCCGTAAATATTCTTTTGAAAGCTTTTGGAATCTAAATATGGACTTTTCAAATATCAATAA